AGAGTCTGCACTTCATTCAAGCTTCCTTTGTTTTTACGTAACGTTTGGGAAAAATTGTATTACATGTAGGCATCATGTCTCCTTTGGCTCTTCCTTGGCTGTGACAGTTTCTCAGACTTTCCTTCTCTTAGATGACCTTAAGACGGTTTGAGGACCACGTCTCATGTATTTGGTAGAATGTCCTTTCATTGGATTTGTGTGCAGTTTCTTTTCTTCTGGTTGCTCTGGGGTTGTCAGTTTGGGGGGAGACCCCAGAGGTTGAATGTCCTTGCCATCCTATCGTGTCAAGTTTCCATACGATGGATGGACAGGATCTACCATGATGGATGCTGTCCGTGGTCGTCTGTGGTCTTGGCTGAGATGCATCTGTTGGGTCCCCCCAACCTGTATCCCACCCTGTCCTTTGGGGCAGAAGTTACTGTGCCTGGGGTACCCTTAAAGAACGAGGAGTTACGCTCCGTTCCCCTGGAGCTGGAGTAGCCATGTGAATTATCTAGGATTCTAACTGGAACTTAACTCTTTTCTTGCATTTATTATTCATTCAATCATTTATGTCAAATGGGCTTATAGATATTTTGTAGTTTTAGTTATAATCCACCAGTAGTCATTTATGTCAAATGGGTTTATAGATATTTTGTAGTTTTAGTTATAATCCACCAATAGTTATTTATTTCATTGCTCAATTTTTCCAGCTTTGGACATGAGGAGCCTTTCCATTGGCCCTGGCGTCCTTTTGACAAACCCCCATTATTGTGGAGGTTGTTCTGTTGTGTTCTGTCTAAGCTCTTCCTTCCACCCTGGTGCTCCACGCTTACCTTAGATCCCTCTTGTCCTGTCCTTGGAGTTGACCTTTCTCCAGGTGCCCTCGTGCCGCTGACGGAGGATGAATGGTCCTGGAAGCCAGGCTCCGGGTCCCAGGTGTGCCCTTTGCTCTTGGGATGTCTTGACTCTGGGTCCTGTCAGCTGGCACAGCGAGGAAACACGTGTGCGTTTTCTACCTTGAGCACGCACCCTTAGCTCTGTACACAACTTTCTAGATCCTGATCTAGCTGAACACCGCTGCACTTATGACGTCTGCTCCCCTGTGCACCCCACCCTGGGATGGAAACCTCTCACCTCCTGCCTGCTTCTCACCTGCTGAATCTCTTGATGGCGTGTACATGCCCCGCAGCCTCAGAGTGGTCCCTTCTGTCCTCCGTGGGAATCGGGGCCAGCCACTGCAGATGGAGCTTACATCAGGCATGCTTTCCTTTAATTTTACAGTATCCACTCATTTCTAACGTGTTCTTATGTTAGTGCCTTTCCCTCCAACCTTCAGTAAGGTCGCTTCCTATATAATAACACCGTTACATTCTCCTGTCACATTATGCATGCCACCCCGGGACCCCTCAGTCTCCTAAGTGATATTTTAAAATTTGCATGCTGTCACATTTGCTCTCTGCACTGTAAAGTTCTTTAGGTTTTGACAAGTGCTGAATGTCTTGTATTCTCCATGATGATATCATACAGAATCATCTCATTGTCCTAAAAAAAAATCCCCTGTGCTTCACCTATTTAACTCGTTTTTTTGAACTCGGAAAGCACTGATCTTTTCACTGTCATTATAGCTTTGCTTTTTCTAACCCGACCTCTAACTGGAGTCTCTCAATGCAGTGATCTTGCCTACTGGTTTGTTTTACCAGCAATGTGCGTTTCAGATTCACTCATTTTTGTGGCTTGATAGCGATTTCTTTTTATCACTGAGTAATGTCCCATCATACGGAGGTACCAGCTTGTTTATTAATTCCACAGTTAAAGGACCTATCAGTTGCTTCCATTTTGGGATAACTGGGATAATTGTTTGTTTTACATTTGTTTTGTGGATGAAGGTTTCCAAATAGTCTTAGCACATGAGTTCTTAGAAATGCTGATGATTGCTGGCTTGTGTACCCTAAAACTGCATTTCCTTTTGCACAGGGCTTTGAGCTTGCTAGGCAAGCGCTCTACCCCTGAGCTTGCTGTTCATTTTGAGCAGGGTTTTGCTGTGTTCCCCAGCCTGGCCTTGAATCGCTGTGTTGCTGCCTTGGCCTCCCAAGCAGCTGGGATTACGGTGTGTACCTGGGTCTCTCTAGTTTTGCAGGAGAAGGCCAGATGGCCTTTCTGAGGAGTCGTACACTTCATATTCCCACGAGCAGTGAAGAGAATCCGTGTCACTCTGTCCCCTCAGTAGCAGCTCGTGTCGTCGGTCGTTTGGGTGTTAGCTGACCGGTACATGTGTATGCCTCCTGGCTTTCGTTTTCTTGTTTTAATTCCCTAATGAAAGATGATGAGCGTTTTTCAGTATGCTTGTGTGCTGAAGTATCTTTTTAGTTGTTTCCTCCAGTGTTTAAGTATTGGGTTGTTTTCTTACTTTTCAAGAGTTCTATATTTTGAACACAAAATCTCTCGTACATATTTCACGGCATATTATTACCTGGCATGTAGCTCATTTGATTCTCTTACTGGTGTCCTTCAAGGAACAGGAGTTTTGAAGTTTAGTAACCTTAAGTTACCAATTCAGGTTACTAATGTTTAGCTTCATGGAACTTGGTTTTGGGGCTGTTTCTGAAAACTCATCACCAGCCCAAGGTGTCTAGGGTTTCATTTTATACCTTCTAGACATTTTTAGTTTTCATTTCGCATTTAACAGAGTCGCTCTGAGTCGTTTTTTGGGAAAAGTGTGAAGTCTGTGTCCAGAGTCACTTTTTCTTCTGCATGTGGGATGTGTATTTCAGTACCATTTGTTGAAAAATAATGTTCTTTCCCCCAGAGCTCATGTCCCTACATTTATTTGGGTCTCTTCTGGGGTCGCCATTCTATTGATCTTACTTATCAATATTTCACTGCCTTGATTACTGTATCTTCATATTGGAATCAGTTAGTGGGAGTTCTCCAGCTTTGTTCGTACTCTGAGGTATTATTTTGGCTATTCTGGATCATTTTTCCTTCCTAAATAAAGAACTAGTTTGACAATATCTACAAAATGTCATCTGTTAGGAAGAACTGATATCTTAAAATTGTTGAGTGTTCTAATTCGAAAACAGAATCTCTCCATTTGTTTAGATCCTTTTTGGTTTCTTTCATTAGAGTTTTGTAGTTTCCTACAAAGAGATCCTGTACATATTTATTAGATTCACACGTATTTCATATTTCGAGTACCATTGCAAATGCTATTATTCTTAAATATCAAGTTCCAATCCATTGCTGGTGTACAGGAAAGTGAGGACTTGTGTATTGACCTTGTACCTTGTGACCTTGTTGAATTTGAATATTAGTTCCAGGATCAGTTGATTCCCTCCCCCTTTAATTCTGTCGTGCTTTCTAAATAATCTTGCCATATGTAGGCAAAATTCATAATATTTCTTCCTTTTCAATTTCTGGAACCCAACCCTTTCTTCTCTTCTCTTCCCTCCCCTCCCCTTTCTTCCCTTTCTCTTTCCTTTTTCCTTGTGTTTGTGCACTAACTTGGACTTCCAAGGTGATGCTGAGCAGGACGGGTAACACATCCCTGCTTGTGTCAGATCTGAAAGGGAAGGCATCTAACTTCGCACCTGTAGGTCTGGTGGTAGCCGCAGACAGCTGTTCTTTGTCAAGTTGGTGGATTTTGTCACATGCTTTTCCTGTACCAGTTGATCTGATTATAGGATTGTTTTCTTCCTCAGCCTACTGATACAGCAGGTTACACTGACTAATTTTCCAATGTTGGATCAGCTTTGCATATGTTTGTAGCATACAATTATCTTTTTCCACTGCTAGCATTGATTTGCTAATATTCTTGAAAACTTTCCCATGTGCATGAGAGATACTGGTCTAGAGTTTTGTTTTCTTACCACATTTTTATATGGTTTTGCTATTCGAATAATGCCACAATATGGAAGTTTCTGATTCTGATTTCTGGAACAGATTGTGGGAATGATGGTGTTTCTTCCACAAATGTTTGGTATAATTCACTTTCTACTACATTTTCTTTTAGAAGATTATTAATTATTGAATCCATTTATTTAATAGAGACCTATTAAACTTATGTATTGCCCCATTTATATTTTGGAAATTTGTATGTCTTCCAAGCAAGTTGTTCTATTTTACGTAAGCTATTAAATCAATGAGCAGAGGTTGTTCATTGTATTTTTTATTACCCTTTTAATGTCCATATGATCAGTAGTCTGATTCATGTCTGATATTGACAACTTGTGGTCCATCCCCACACCCTGGACTGGGAAGTTTTCAAAATACACATGTTAGCGTGTTCCCAGACTCGCCTTGGAGGAAAGTTTGGCAATGCAGACACGACACGCTTTCCTCAGGACTCCCAGGGGCTCCTGATGCTTCTAACAGGGAGGTGGACAAGGGAAGCATCCCGAGCCTGGACCTGTCTTTAGTGCTCAAACCTTTTCACCCAGGGCACACTCTGGCCACCTGGAATGCTAGAATATAAGCTATGGAAATGCAAAGCCATTGTAATTGATTTGGAAGAGGAGAAAGAAGGGCAGACCTGCCTGCCTGGTTCTCACCTCCCTAAGCTTGGGACATCTAGTCCCTGAGAAAGCACTGGGGTCTCAGCACCCAGCTGATGTGGAAGGAGATCACACTCACCAAGTGTTTCAGGATGTGCTCAGCACGGAACACAAGTCAGATAGAGCCTGTGACTTTGTCACACGCATCCACCAGTGGGCAGGGCTGCTCCTCCAGGGCTCAGGGATTCCCTGCTGCCAAGAATCCAGGAATAGTGCCCGGCTCACAGGCCATCGTGTTGGACCGGGGAAGGAGGGTTGGGACCGCATAGCCTGGCCCTTTGTGGAGAGCCCGCCAGGTGCTCTTCTGACTTAGGAGAAGCCGTGTTTATGTCCTAGGCTCTTGATCAGCCTGCCTCCCGCAGCAGAGACCTCACAGGCCCAGTCCTGCTTGTACCTCCCCCCTCTGGTTGTCTTCAGGCAGGACCCTGGCCTGGGTCCATTTCTCACTTTGCTTATCTACCTTTGAAGGCTCTGCTCTGACCAACGGGGGCCTGAACCTGCACAGCTCCGTGAAGAGGAAGCTGGAGGCCGAGAAGGACTATGTCTTTGATAAGAGGCTCCGGTACAGCGTCCGCCAGAACGAAAGCAACTGTCGGTTTCGGGACATCGTGGTGCGAAAGGAAGAGGGTTTCACACACATCCTGCTGTCCAGCCAGACCTCGGACAACAACGCGCTGACGCCCGAGGTGAGCAGTGGACCCCAGACCTCTCTCCCTGTCCCTTCACTCCTTCCATGATAGCAGTGAAACACCGAGGGTCATGGGGTCGTGGGGGACGCAGTCGGGGCAGCGGAGTGACCCAGCTCAGAGCCCATAGGTCGGGCTGGCATTGCCTGGGGGATCTGTACACTCAGGGAGACCTGGGAAGTGGAGGACTGGGGGTGACGAATCCTTGACGTGGGACTCAGTGTCTCATCCTGTGATTTGCACACGCAAAGGTTCTCCTGTGGGACGTGGGCTGGTGTGATTAACAAGTCGTGAGGGAGATGCCGAGAGTTGAGTCTTTGAGTCTGTGGGGCTGCTGGCTACTGGTTGCCTCTCCTGTAAGCGTGGGGTTCCCAGGGGCTCCCCTCTGCACCTCCAGTGGAGCAGCAGGCTTCTCTGCCCTGTAGACCTGTGTGTGGGATTCCAGGGACCCCAGAGCACAGCTCTGCCCACAGGCGCCTCTTCACGTGTTCACACACCTGGAATCGTGCTATTTTAAGCTCCCTGTGACACATCCACATGAGTCCGCCGCTGCTTTTTTTCTACTTCACTACTTTTTAAAAGCGTGCTTTAAAAAGGTGCAGCATTTTCCTTCCGCAGCTTGAATAAAGGTGACGTCTCCCGGCTTGCGCTCTCTCGAGAGCTGCTTTGTGTGTTAGCTGTTTTCCACTCATCTGTCAAGCTGTGTTGTGCTCGGCTGATCCCGGGTGTCCAGGTCCTCACCCGCTGAGCCGTGGGCACGGTTAATTAGGGATTCTGTTCCTAATCAGCGGCGGCCGGCTACAGGATGGGAAGGAAAGGGAAAAAGCTATCAATCCTGTAATTTCAGCTGTCTTCACCAGAGTGCGTTGACTCTGTGGGTAAAGTAGCCCTAAAAGAAAAATTCTGGTGAAATGCAGAGGCGGTGTTAGAGGAGGAACGCAGACTTTGAAGGCTGGGAGGCCCTGGTGCAAATGCTCCTGCTTGCACCACTCACCACTTGGTCTTCCCGTGGGAAGTTCCTTTGCTTTTCTGAGCTGCCTTGGTTGCAGAAGTTACAGTCTCTCTGTGAGATCAGAGCCAGTGCATGCACAGAGGCCGGGACATGGCAGTAATAAATGCCCTCGTTGTCGTTAAGATGAAACAGAGGCCGTTTAATGGCCACCAGCACACCAGCCTTGCTTATTAGGGTAGAAACTGGAAGGGAACCACTTTCCGGGTCACAGCTGAGTTTCTGGTTATCCCTGCATCATTGGTTGAATTGGCCACTTAGGCAAAAATTCACTCGTCCCTGGAAGTGTTAGCTGGGTTCTGAGGCCGGCGCGTGTGTTGTGATTTCTCTTGTCTGGAATATGGCAGAGAAGGAGGAAATGGACAAACAGGACCCTGCATGGTCCTCCCAATTGAAGGCTTGTCCACGGCACTGCTGGGAGAGGACCCCACCTTCTGTGGGCAGTGGGCGGCCATGTGGGGTCCCTGTCACAGCCCTCTTGTCATCCGACCCTGGTCACGCCATTGTTGACTGCTTTCTCTTTACTTCCATTTCTGTCATAATCACGAGAGTTGCAACTACTAGGCCATTTTTCCAGGACCATGGTAGTATCCTGCTTGTAAGTGTGTCCACTTCCATGCTGCCCGCATTGGAATCCACTGTCCACAAAGCAGGCAGAATGATGTGTGGGAAAGACAGTCTGAACACACCACCCTTGCACATGTACACACACACAAAACACGCACACACACACGTCAAACATGTTGATCACTCTGGTTAATAAGCAGAGCCGTCAGTGGGGCCTGCAAGCATGGTGAAGTCTGACTTATATCTTGCATCAACACTCTCTTCTGTGCACTCCAGAAGCTTGTTTTCTTGCTGTACCTGTCACAGGACCTTTGCACATGCTCACCCCTCTGCTTGGAACAGCCTTTCTGCCTCCTTGCTTCACAGACACCTACTCTTTCTGCAGGTCTCAGCATGTTCATTATCCCTGTAGAAATCTTCCCTCAATATCCTGAGGTCATGCCCTCTCCCATGGGCTTCCCTGGCACTAGGCTCCTCCCTCTTGAACCAGTCACAGTTGTTACTATACATGTATTTGTTGTTTTATTAAATGTCTGGTTCCCTTTCTCATCGAACCATAAGCCTTTTAAGTAATTAAAGATATGTATTCTCTCTGTCACAGTTCATATCTAAAATGTGCCCTGAAAGCCTCGTGTGCTCAGACCATGAGGCTTTGGGAAGGTAATTGATTGCGTCATGGGGGCAATATATTCATCGGTGGATCAATCCATGAATCATTTGAAGCTAAGCATGCTGTTAGGAACTGGGATCTTGTCAGAGGTGGTTCAGAGTGGGCATGGCCTGGGAAGCTGTGTTCGTGACCCTGGCTCCTCCCTTCTCACTCTGCTTATGGGTTGAGCCCCTCTCCTTGGCCAGGTCTTTCCACCATGGTTTTACGCTGGACCCAGTTGATCCTGGACTGAACCCTCTTAAACCATTAGTCAAAGTAAATCTTCCTCTTTTAGGCTGTGGGTGTTAGGTAGTTTGTCAGGGCAACAGGAAACTGGCTGATGTCATCCTCAATTCAGTAATATTTTTTAAAAACCCAGCAAGTTCTGAACCAAGGGTTTACAGATGAGCAAAGTATTATTTTAGCTCTTTTTTTTTGTCTTTTTCGTTTTTATCGGTACCAGGGATCACGACTAACTGCTTGCAAGGCAAGCGCTTATGCTGTGGAGCTAAATCCCCAGCCCCTTTATTTTAGCTCTTAAAGGATTATATTAATTATTGATTGCTACCTAACAAATTGTGCTAAATTTAGCACCTGCAAACAAGGACTTCTTATTGCGCAGTCTGTGGGTCAGAAGTTGGGGTGGGCTCAGCTGATATCTCTGGCTCAGTTACAGTCTGGGTGCCACTTGAGCTGTGAGACCACCAGAGGCTTGGCTGCTGGAAGGAGGGCCCACATCCATACCGCGGATGTTGGTGGCCTTGGTCCTCACCGACCAGAGACATCTGTGCCCTGCCACACGTGCTTCAGGGTTACCAGTGACATGGCAGCTGGCTTCCGTCAGAGTGAGAGCATGTAAAAAGAGGCTCGAGTCATTTTGTAACCCACCCTCCTCTTGAAAGTGCCATCCTGTGGGTGGCTGTGGTGTCCTGTGCAGGTTAAATATGAGTCACGAGGTCCAGCTCTCACTCACAGTTGGGTGGTTTCAGAAGGGTGTGAGTAGCAGACAGGGTGTCAGTGGGGCCCACCTCAGGGGCGCCTGCCACACGGGGTCTCCAGCAGGCAGGAGGCAGATCAGGTGAGGCTATGCACGTTGTACAGGGCATGGAGGGACTTCTCAGATTCCCCATAAGCTGAATGTGCGGTATTAGGGTGTCAGGAGAAGTCCCCACATCCAGCTGGGGACTTTTGGGGAAATCCCTCCTGAAGGTGGTTGCTTTTGAGATGAGCCTGGAGTGACTGATCACAGAGCAGAGAGGGACCTGCTTCTTGTATACAGGTCGGTCTACCCTGGCAGGTCTGAAGCCAGACGTCTCGCAGGGGAAGCAGGTTCTCTCCAGCAAATGAAGCTGCAGGTGCGGTGAGTTAGGAAGTGCAGAGCTCGACAGTAAATGCACAGGATGCCTTGGGGACCTCACCGTGCACGGCACCGGGGACTGGTGTGCTGCGGGCCAGCAGGGGCCCTGGAGTGCACGCCGTGTGCTCTGTGTAAGAAGGCGGAAGAGCGCTGCGTAATTTTGGAGCATCTTGGTGGAAACGCTGCAGTTACATTATAGAAACTGGAGTCTTTCAGGAAAGGGCGGAAGTTCAGCCACCTGTCCAAACTGAATTCTCAGCAGTAGAGGGGAAAGGGAAAGGTGCTCAGTAGCCATAACTTCTTGCAGTTTTAAATCATTTTTAGTATTTTTTATGCATTGATCTGTTTGGTACTGAGGTTTGGAGACGGCGCCTTTGCCCAGAGCTGTATCCCCAGTGTTTTTTATTTCGAGACAGGCAGGATCTTGCGCAGTTGTCCAGAGTGGCCTTAAACTTGTGATTCTGCGCCCCAGCTTCCCTCAGTGCTGGGATTACAGGCAGGCATCACCATACCTGGCTTCATTTTTCTTCTTAAGCAAAGAAAGGATGTAGTACGTACTTCCCGTGTGTCCGTGAGACACGGATTTTAATTCCGGATGATGCAGATATTTTGCCCAGCCTTATTTTTACTAATTGACCATGAGGTGTGGCCTAGGACAGGGAGGCCCCTCTCTGAGTCTCCCGTGGAATCAGCTCATCTCTTTGCAGGCTTTTCCGAGAAACAGTTCATAAATAGCTGAGAATGTGTCTATTTCTGTAGGCACAAGGATTAAAAGACCCACAAGACAGTGGCCTCGTGGCATTTCTGATGTTTGAAATGAACATTTGTGGTTTAAACCCTCCTAGTGAGGAATGTGTTCCTCCCCTCTTCCAGCAGGGCTGGGACCCAGAGTGCCTCGGTTCACTGACATCGGGCCCTGCCTTTCCCGCTGAGTCATCCTACAGGACGGAGCCATAGAAAGCGAAGGGGTTTGGGTGCTGACGCTGGGATTGTGGTCCTGTTGGGGTGGCCTTGGGCAGCTTTCTTTACGTCCTGAATCTGCATTGCGTCACCTGTGAGATTGGCATGCCTGTCCCTACGTCACAAGACCTTCTTTGGAGTACACTATTAGGTGGTGATTACCTGATGCAACCCGTGCTGTTCTAGGTGCTGTAACACATGTGGGTTCTTTTGAAAGCATGATTTAAAAAACAGTGCTTTCTGTGCAGCTCCCCCAAGCCCTGTGACGGTACCTAATGATTTCTCCAAAGTCTGTCTGCACAGTCTCCCCCTGAGACTCTAAACTCTGTCCGGGTGAGACCCAAACCTTGTTTCTTAGTGCCGCGGCCTTCCATACCTTTTCTGCTTCCCTAATTTGGTTGCGTGACTGAGGCTTCTTCATATTACCCGCCAGGCGTGCTTCCTAATTTTCAAGATGAGCGTAGCCATCCCCTCTCCACCACCGCTCCCACACTGGTATCTTGGCCTGCTGCGGCAGCTCCGCCTTCTCACCAGCCATCGGGTTCCCTGAGTTTTATGGTCAGTTCTTACTCTGACTTACAACAACATTCTTCAAGGTTTTTGCTGTCTGTTTTTTGCACACCAGTTTTCTTCTTGAAGCGCAGTCCTTTTGCTTATTTTTGTGAGGAGCTAAGAGTGGTCAACTTCTTGTCCTGAATGTGCTTGGGCGATAGTTTAGCTGGGTGAAGAATTTTTCTCAGCAGCCTGAAAATTATACCCTGTTACTGCCTTCTGCTATTTAGTTTTGCTATTTGAAATTACCCCTTCAGCCAAGTGCTTGTACTTCCTAGGAAATCCTTCTTTTGTCTCTGGGCATATTTATTTACTTTCACTTGTTTATTTTTAAATGCGTATTTTTATTAGTGCCCATTAGTTTTACAGAATACCGCGTTTCAGAGTGCTTAGCATTTTGATCGTGTTCCTCCCCACGGGCCTCCCATTCGTCCTCCTCGCTCCCTTCCTCTTGTCTGATGATAAGCTCCCTTCTGCTGTTGGGTCATCTCTTTTAGAGTTCACTGATTTGGAGTATGCATGATATAGTCAGAATCTCTCAGTCTGGTTTATTTTGCTTAACATCATCTTCAGTTCCCTTCACTTGCCTGTATGTGACATGTTTTGTTCTTTGTACAGCTGACTTGTGTAACGTACGTCTTAGCGCTGAATTGTATAATACATACTTCATTATATTACGTATACCTCGCATCGCATTCTTCACCCGGTATCCATCTGCTGGTGGTTGTGCTCCCTGTACACAGGTTAAATGGCAGCTCCAAAACCAGAAGTCGTCGTGTCGCGGAAGTGGGTTTTCCCCATCAGGTGCCAGCAGCGAGTCCATGCCCCGATGGCCAGAACCTATGACTGTGTTAGGCTAGCTGGCAGGAACGCAGGCTGCAGAAGGTGCTCGTGAGTGCCCTCAGGAGGAAACGAGTATCCAAGCCTCTCTAGATGGGCCCCAGGTCACGACAGAGTGCTGGGGTGTGGAAGAGGAAGGTGGAGGCCCTGGTGTGTGAGATGCAAAATGCGAAGACTCCTGGATGCTGCCAGCCTTGGAAGGTGGAGGGCGGGGCCCCGAGCCCAGCTGCAGGGGCCCGGAGACACCAGAAAGGAGGATCCCCGAGGCCTCTGCAGCCCTGCAGCCCTGCACCCCGCACTCTCGTCCTCTCGTCTCCCTGGACGCTGCCTCCTCTTCTGTGAACCTCGGCAGCTGCTTAACCCTTCCCGTCGGGCTTGTCTTTACCCCTCGCCCCTCTTTGCCACCTGTTCCTGTGTTCTTGGTTCAGGGCAGTCTGTGCTGGTCTTTCAGTTCATTTATTCTCTCTTTGGCACCATTTAATGTGTGGGTATCCGTGATTGTGTTTTTCCTTAGAAGAAGTTCCCCTTAAATGTATTTCCCCCACTCTCCTGTTCTTTCTCTGTTGTTCATATGACTCCTCTCCTTATCTGAAATGTTTTCGTGTTACAGGCTCTTTTAGACCAGCAGTGCTTAAAGCTGCCGTGTAATCCCGTGTGCCGAGCATGCAGACTTGTGTTTCCTCCGTGTTTTGTAGCTTTTCCTTGGAGCTCTCCTCCGACGGGAGTTTGTGCCCTTGTGTACTTCTCACGCGGTCTCAGGGGCAGTTCTCCCCAGAGTCTTTTTATATTCCTTTCCACGAGACACCTCCGGGATAGCCGCAGCCCACGTCCAATTTCCATGTTAATTTTTTACCCTGGAGATTCCTCTTGTAGGTGGCAGTGGAACTCAGGAGTTCAAATCCAAGTACAGAGAGGCTTGGAGTTTTGAATTCTCGAGGGAGAGTTTTCCTCCCACAGAGATAAAACACTGGTGCAGCTCGTCCTGGCTGAACCTGGAGAACAGGTGGTTCCGGGGCCACACTGCTGCGTGGGATTGAGGGTCACGGCACAGACCTCCCTCCTTCATGGCCTGTGCTGGTGCAGCAGCCTGGCCCCACCGCAGCTGTGGGTCAGCCTGAATGCCCAGGCGCCTGAGACCAGCTGTGCGGGCAGGATGAGCGGCGCCCCCTGCAGGAGTCCAGGGGGCAGGAGTCAGAGCGGGAAGCTGCAGGGGTTGGTTCGCCAGACCCTGAGGTTCTAGTAGGCTTCAGATCCAGGCTCCATCAGAATCTCCACAGGCTCGAAGACCCAGAGGGGTCTGCTTGGCCCTGTGCACCGCACACCCAGCTGCTCTTGTAAGGAGTGTGCTGCTCTGTGGAGGGCTTTAAACCCAAGAACCAAGTGCTTTGCGAGGCAGCCTTGCAGGCTTTGAAGGCTTTTGGGTGTGAGAAAACAGCCCAGGTTCTGAGTTAGGGGATGAGGGGACAGAGAGAGGGAGACGGGGGGAGGGGGAAAGAGAGGAAAAAGACCAATGGAACACGCAATTGCTGAGTGTCTGTTGTATGCCAGGGACTGTGTTAGTCTCCAAGAATATGGTGGGGAATGGGAGATGCATCTTTCTTGTATTGCTACGATAATCTAGCAGGAGGAGCCAGGTAAAATACCCTCCTCAGTAGCACAGAGAGAAGGGATGGAATGCCTCTTACCTAGAGTCCATTGCATCTGCCAGGAATGTGGGCCTGTGGCTGGACACAGCATTCTCTTTCCTTTTATTTATTCTTCTTCAAAGTTTTTGAAAGTGGGTGCTGTGATCCTTCAAACCAAGTGTGACCAGTGTGTCCCAGGTCCTAGAGCTGGGGAGCAGCGGGCCAGAATTTGGACCAGAGGCTTCTAACACCAGTCAGGTTTTGCAGCCAGGTCCGGCTCGGGTATCGAAGCCTCTTCCTGTGGGCCATTGCAAGCCACGCGAGGGTCTGGGCTGCGTGAAGAGTGAGCGAGCGGGAGAGAAGTGAGCTGAGCCATCTGGAGAAGGCTGTGCTCAGGACTGTTTTCCCACGGCCTGTAAAGGGCTCCGCAAGCAGATGCCAGAAGGGGATTTGCAGAGATGTACAGGGATTGACCGAGTCCCAGCCAGGCTCTGGGTCTGAGCCAGTGGCCTCCTGTTATCTCTGCTGGCTTTAGGGATGGAGCCGGACAGCTTTGGTTTCATGTGCTTCTGTCTTTGATCTGGCTGTGGGCTTGGGTTTGGAGGAGGCCTCTGGCTGAGGCAGGAGGAGGTCTGCCCACCTCTCCCCACCGAGGCCACCCCCGGCTGGCTTGCCAGTGGTCGCTGACATCCCTCGTACTGATCTCTGCCTGCAGATCATGAAGGAGGTGCGACGGGCGCTGTGCAACGCGGCCACAGACGACAGCAAGCTGCTTCTACTCAGCGCCGTGGGCAGTGTGTTCTGCAGCGGCCTGGACTACTCCTACCTGATTGGCCGCTTGTCCAGCGACCGGCGAAAGGAGAGCACTCGGATCGCGGAGGCCATCAGGTGAGGCGCCCAGGTCCTGCCTGGGATCCCTGAATTCAGCAAAGGCAACACCCAGGCTGCTCAGTCACATCTGGCATCAAATGCCAAAATAATGCTATCTTTAGCATATGTGTGTCCCGTGCAATGTTTGGGACATCCTTCTTTCTAAAAATTACAGGCTGTTGGTTTAAAATTTGGATTTTAAATCTAGCTTCTAGTATCTTACTGACAACCCCAAAGTCAGTGATGCTTTGCTCTCTGTGTTAGTTCTCGCTGTGATTCTTTCAATCAGAAATAGATTTTTTTTCCTATTAAGGGCTGGATGCGGTGATGCCTTGTATGACGTACCTTACTCCTGCCTCTGCCTGGGGTGGGGTGGAGATCTCAGGGGTCCTGACATTTCTGCCCTGGGTCTAATCTGACGCGGCAGTGGTGGTGATGTCGGGGGTGGGGGTGGCTGTACATTTTCAGACTCCATGAGGTGGGAATACTGGCCCCTGTCTTCTGCCTTTGGGGCAGAATTGAGTGTCCTAGAGGTGACATTCAGTGATGACAATCAGTGTTTCTTTTGGGACACAGGGCGATTACTTCTCCATTTTTCATAAATATATTACAAGTGAGCGAGGGTGATTTCCAGCCCGGGATCAGCTGGTTGGAAGCTGTCACTCTGCATCCACCTCAAGCAGGATGAATACACTCCCTGCTGTACCTAGCTTAGGGAGACCGGCAGGCGTCCCAGTTCAGTCACTCCCTGGCCTCGTGAGAAGAAACTTACTCCCTGTGGGGTCAAGCCGACCCAGGTTGCATGCCCAGGTTTTCTGGGACTCCAGTCTTTACTGCTGAGTGGCACAGACTGGTCTCCCACAGACTGGTCTCTACACAGACTGGTCTCTACATGTCAACAGAGGCTTTGAGGATCGCAGGTGTCCAAGAGGTGACATTAGGACACTTGTGTGTAGGATTCTGGTCCCTTTTCAGGGCAAGCCAGGGTGCTTCCTGGAGGAGCAGGAGGAGCCCGGCCGCTATCACTGCAAGGAAGCCTGGGTTTACACTGGCCCCAGGGGCAGCCCACCTGGTCTGCAGCAGTTTGCTGTCTGCCTGGTCTAGGTTGTGTTTTCTGTGGCTTCTCAGGAGTCAAGGGGAGAAGCAGGGTCCCCAGTAGTCTCCCCTCCTTGTTTATGGGGCCATCGGAATCCAAACTGAAGGACTGAGTGCCTATCTCGACGAAGCATGGGAAACTTGCTTATCTCGTTTATAAATTTCTGGTCTTCGTCTGGGTTTCCAGGTCCCAGGCAGGCCCCTTTGACAGAACCGCTGGTTTCCATTCCTCACACACGTACATGGTTCACCAGCGTGGAAACTTCCTGCGGCATCCCAAAAGATGCGGCCACATCCTAATCTCTGGAACCCATAAAAAATGTGACCTTATTTGGAGAAAGGAGTGCGATGGATGCAGTTAAGTTTAAAATTCCGAGATGAGATCATGCTGGGTTAGAGTGGGCTGCAGACCCAGAAGGAGCAGCCCGTACAGAGGAGAGGGGATGCAGAGCCAGGAGAAGGTGACATGGTGGACCAGCAGGAACCGGAGGGTGGCAGCTGCCTAGTGAGGAGCACCTGGGTGGCTGGTAACAACCAGCAGGAGCTGGGGAGAGCCTGGAGCTCTCCCTGGAGCATCCAGTCTTTCCTGGATCCCCCAAGGAGCCAGCTTCACTGCCTGGACTTTGGACTTAGGGGAGAATAAGCTTCTGTTGGTTTCAGCCACTGTGTCTGTGGCCGATGTGACAGCTATCCTGGGAACCACCGCACCCCAGAGGGAAGTGTTAGCAACTCAGGAAGCCCCAGCACCCTGGGCTCACCGCTCAGACAGAGTCCATTGTGACCTTAGTCCTGGCCCCCCAAAGGGCCACTCCTGGTGGGTACTGTTGGCATCTTCTGGGTGGGGTCTGCTATCGGGTGAAGTCTGACAGCCGCAGGAAGGTGATGCCCTCAGTCCGTGGTGGGTGGGCAGTGATAAGACGTGTCCAGCATGGGACACCAGGCAGTGCCAGGGCGTGCAGGAATGAGACCCTGCAGCTGGATCACTGGACATGGGACCTGGACCCCCAGCCTGGTTCATTCCTGCAGCTTTTCACAGCCAGCCAGAGCCCCACTGACCCCCAGCTTATCCGTGTTAGCTTTCACCCCCTTTAGCTTCTAACCGTTGGGGTCACGAGAGCATCAGGTGTGTCCCTCTGGAGTCTTGGGAACCGAATCAAGGGAGAAAGAAAGGTCAGAGGTGGGCGGGGAGGAGAAGGTGAGCTCAGCAAAGCTGGAATGGAGACTTGGCTGAAACCTGGGACGCCCCAATGGCTTCCGCCTTCTCCAGTGGAGTAAACCAGGGAGCCCCAAAGGGGGGCCCCGTGTGAGGAGCCACTGAAGGCTTTATCTCTACCTCCAGGGAGAGCCAGGCAGCGGGGTCAGACCGTGGCCAGCTCGGTGGGCAGCTGCACCTTAGGCAGAGCAGAGGGCGTGAAGGCAGAGGGGCATCTTCCCCAGGTTTCAAAGAGAGCGGAAATCACTGATTTATGGGCTGGCAGGGATGTCCCCTGGGCCGCTGTTTCCAGCTGCAGTAGCACAGAGACGCCTGTGGGAGGTGGCACCGCTGAGAGGGCCGTCTGGGTTGGGGCAGCACATCTGTGCTCCGAAGTGTCCCTCGTGGTTCTGATGTGCAGCCAGCGCAGAGAGCGCCTGCCTGGTGTCAGCTAGGAGTTTGTGCTGCTGGGGGAAGCGTGCGAGGAGAGGGCAGGAAAGAGCTGTTTGGACACGAGAGGGAAAAGGTGATTGGTTATAAGGAGAAGAAAGCGGGAAGGAGGACTGAGGGAGGGCAGCGGAGCAGGAGGTGCAGACAGTGGCCACACGGGGCCCCTCAGGGCAGAGGAGGCGTCTCGGGCTCTCCAGCTCTGCAGTGTTTCCTCGGGGCCTGCCCTTTCGTGTTCATGACATCATAGCCTTGCACTTGGCAGAGAATTGTCTTACGGTTTTCAGAGCTGACCCATTCCGCAGAAGCTGCTGTCCAGGGCCCATCCTGAAAGAAAGGCTTCCCTCACCTGAAACTGCTCTAGGTGAGCTGATGGCGTTAGTGTGATACTCAGGACAGTAGTGTGGGCGAACGGCTGCGCGCAGGGCCTCTGAGAGCCTCCTGCCTAACCGCATCAGAGCAGCCTAGCAGGGTGGTTGGGTGGAAGCTTGGGGCAAGGCGGAGGGAGCCCCAAAGGCTGAGCCGGCCTGATGGCCCTGGGTGCTGGGGAACACGGCGCCGGGCTCCCAGCCCTGTCAGATCAGATATCCGAGCTGAAGGTCTGTAATGCAATATCCTGTTTGCTGTTTGGCTCCTCCATCCCTGGGGCTTGTGCTAGAGATCTGCCACCTGAGGCGAGAGAACAAGGATGGGAAGGTGGTCTTAGCCCCACACTCGAGATGAAGGGAGCGGGAGGCAGGTTGGGACGAACAGGAGGAGCTGGGAGGGGGCCGGAGTTGTGCGTGCTGGGGCCGTGTCACCTTCCTCGGGGCCCCTGCTGCCCTTGCTCGGAGCTCAGGTTGGAAGCCACAGAGTGGGACCCTGGGGGACCAATGCAGAAGGCTCTAGAGGGGGTGAGGGCTGCTCCTGGGAGACCCAGAGCAGGAGGCTGTCTGGGTAACCTTGGACCCTGTTACTGAGAGTGAGATGATGGGGGGATTCACTGCCAGGAGGACAAACTGGCTGGTCCTTCCCAAGTCTGAGATCCCTGATTGTGGAACTGGATAGATTCTCTGGGAATGGGATGTCTAATGAAAATCACCCCCCACAGCTGGCTTCTAAGGGTCCCTTAAAGAAGCCCCCTATTCCCACAGACTCAAGGTTGCATTGGTGCAAAACAAGGAGTAACCTAACCTAAAACCTGACCCCGAGGTTAGGGGGTGATCAGTGGGAGACCTGCCTCGGATCATCGTGGGTCCCAGATCCCCTCTTGGAATCAGGGTCTTTTGAGGGTCATCGAAAGGGCCACGCCCACCCCATCATCTCAAGCAGTGTCTTAGCTCAAGCCTGGATCAATGCTGTGTCCCTCTGTGATGACTTCTGCAGGTCTTAAGATGCCTCTGACTTAGCAGAAAATACAGAAGCCTTCTTACAGTAACTTCAATGCCAGTATATTACCGTGATGGCCACAGTTTTGTAAGACTTAGCAGGAGGAACAGTATCAGCTGAAAATGAGTGAATCAGCTTGACATTTGTGTTAGTAAAGTATTAGGTGCTATAACAGTCTCCAAATTGTGTGTGTTGTGTGTGTGTGTGTGTGTGTGTGTGTGTGTGTATGTGTATACGATTGGCTCAATTGTGAGAGGATTTTACTGCTCAGATTTGTAAACCTAAAGCAGATTCCTCCGAGTGGTGACTCGGGCACCCAGACTCTTCCATCCTGTGGCTCCTCCACTGTCCTCCCAGACCACCAGGTCCCTCTAAGCCACTGGTCTTGGACAAGCGCGTGGCAGGGGGTCATATGTCCCCGGAAGTGGCACAGTTTCTGGGAACATTCTATTGGGCAGAACTTGGTGAGTTGGCCACACAGCTGTAACACAGGCTGGGAAATGTGGCCTCAGAGAGGACAGAAGGGAAGGTGGGTTTGGTGAAGAGCTGGCTCACCGCTGACACGCCTTTCCAGGGCTTGCCACACTCCTGGGAGACCCTTGTGTTTTTCAAGAGGTGTTTGCTGACCTAATTCCAGAACTGATGGAAGCTAGGCAGAGCCCCAAGCAGACCTGTGGGTGTCCATGAGGAGCTAAAGGGAGAAAGGCTTCAAAAGCAATCAAGACATTAGCAGGGCAATTGGGTCGGTGCTGTCTCCTCAGACTCTCGGAGACCTGTTAGCTCATCACAGTGCACAGGGCTCAGAGAGCTGTCAGGGAAGCCTGGAAACGCAGGCCAAGGCAGGCCGAGGTCATCTGGGTTTATCCTTATAAATTCTTGGTAGCTTTCAATCTTCCCTCTGAGAGTAATGAAGGATGCTGACTTGACTTTCCTAGGCATCTTGAATCCGAGCAGGTGATATTAAAATTTTATAGATCTCATACAGCAGCCAGGGGAAAGGCAGAAAGCCTTCCAAGGTAGGGAAGTAGAGGTCACTGTGGTGGCTGTGCTGCATGAGCAAAGATGTGTGTTGTAGCCTTCCCAGGGCAGGGGGAAGAGAGACAATGTCACTCCACCCTGTAGTCAGGGATCTACACGCGTAAGGCTACAGGGAGCCCAGCATTGTTCCCGTTTTCATCAAAGTCATCCTGACACACAGACGCTCACCAGCACTGGAGACCGACCACCCTTGGCGACACTGATGTCCCTGTAGAGAATTCAGAGTCAGACCGCGTCAGCATTGAAGTCACCTGCGTTCATCATCTGACACTTGAATTTCTTCTTCCCCATCACCCAAAGTGATCACTGATCCAAACATGGAATTCCTCTAAGAAGGAGGAAATCATACCCCTATTCTGCCTTGGGCCAGGGATGCTGGAACATTCTCTCTGAGCTGGAATGCGTCTCTCTTGGAAATCCTCTTTCTCTTACTATTTCTGGTCTAGAAGTGGTCTAGGTCCACTTGACTTCCCCATAGACAACTTTGTCAGTATCTAGGGTATCCAGATGATGGCCTTCTCAACTCATGGCTGTTAAGAGTCGGGACAGAGATGGGAGCCATGCTAGGACATCACAAATGCACAGAGCCAGCTGGGACACGTAAGAACTGTCAGTCTCCTCTGAGGATCTGGCAGTCTGGTGGCTCTGTGTCCAGGAATGAAGTCCCTAGCTGTCCCCGGCTCATCTGTGACTGCTGGAACATGCATCACAGCACCTGGGAGAATCGGGATGGGCGTGCCAGTGGGGCTCAGCAAGTTGAGGTCACCTGTTACAGGCCCTTCTGTCTCCTCCAGGGACTTCGTGAAGGCCTTCATCCAGTTTAAGAAGCCCATCGTGGTGGCCATCAATGGGCCAGCCCTGGGCCTCGGCGCTTCCATCCTGCCCCTCTGTGACATCGTGTGGGCCAGCGAGAAGGCCTGGTTTCAGACGCCCTATGCCACCATCCGCCTCACTCCGGCTGGCTGCTCCTCCTACACCTTCCCCCAGATCCTGGGCGTGGCGCTGGTAAGCCTCCTCCCTTTTCTCCTGGAAAGATTCCTGCTCTGAGATGCGTGCTTTTGGATCCTGTCCTGGGTTAGCACAGGATTGGACACCTAGCACACGCCAGGCGCTGACACATGACATCCATTCATTCCTCCCTCTGTCCAGTAAGGTGGTCCCGGAGTGAGCTGTCTGATCTGACCGGCACCCTGCAGTCCTCAGGAGTCTGCATGCTTGGGTTCACCCGTGCTGGCCAGGCATCTTCTGTCTGGCAGACCGACCTTCCCTCCCAGCTGGAAGGGAGAAGAGAGCTCCCACAGGACCGCCCAGGCGGTGTCTGTGGGCCAGGCCTTTTGGACTCGAACATTGGCTGCAACGCCATTGCATGGCCACACCCACCTGCAGGGGAGGCTGGTTCTGCCGCCAGCTTTGCCTGTGCCTGGAAGCTTTTCCACAGTTCCCCCAGATGGTGTGTCTTAGTCAGCTTTGTGTCACTAGAACGAAACACTTGAGGAAAGGTTATGTTAGCTTACGACTGTGGAGGTCTCTGCTGCTTCTGGGCCTTAGCAAGGCAGCACCTCATGACGTATGTGCTAAAGAAAACTGCTCGCCTCATGGGGGCCAGGAAGTGAAAGGTACAGCAGATCGAGGGTAGGAGACCACAGTCCTTAATCCTCTTTGAGATCAGACCTCCAGAGACCTAAAAACCTGCACCTCTTAAGGCCCCGCCCCCTCCTGTGGGCACCAAGCTGGGTACTAAGCGTTAACACTCAGGCCTGGGGGACACTTGTGATGCAGTGTGCAGCAGCTGTGAACCGTAGGGAGCCCTTTGTGGGGTGGGGAGAAGCAGCCACTGAGGAGAACCTGAGTGGGGTGCTTGCCGCCCGCCCTTCAGCGCTGTGCCCCGCCCTGGGCTGCTGGGCGGTGCAGTGTTCCTTGGTATAATTGTGTTGCCTACAAGAGAAAGGCTTTAACTGGGTTCATTCATTCATTACGTCCTGCGGGCCTTCACCCTGACTCCACCCCTGTTTCATTTTTTTATTTTGAGAAAGGACCTTGCTAAGTTGCCCAGGCTGGACTCAAGTTTGTGATTCTCCTGCCTCAGCCTTCGAAGCTTAATTAAAAAAACAAATCATTTTAAAAATGAACTTAATTGTTCTCTAACTGAAAAATTCAGAACTTGGGGAAAATCAGGGTTCAGGAAGCTTGCTTTCTCTTGCTTCTCTGTCTCTTCTCTCTGTTTTTCTTTCTCTGTCTGTCTCTCTCTTCATTTCCCCCCCATCACCTGTGCGTTGCGGTGGGAACCTCTCAGGAGAGCCTTGTTTTGTAGCCTAGATCATCCCAGGACCGAAGTCAGTCCGGGGCCCTGGCACAGGCTGGTGTCCACCCTCGGGTCCGCCCACTCTTTCTCTGCCACCAAAGTGGGAACAGCATTAGGCAGACAAAGCCACTGCACATGTGTGACTTCTTTTAAGCCTGGAACGACAGCAGTGGTGTCTGCTTGGAAAAGTGAACCCATACAAGCGTGTGTGTGCCTTGCACACACAGTGTCTCCCACCCAGGCTGCGCACCCTGCCTTGGGGAGCGGGACAGCTGTGCCCAGCTAGCCCAGCTCTCCCCCGGGAGACGCCACTCTCAGCACCTCCTCACCTTTGCTGTTTCAGGCCAACGAGATGCTGTTCTGCGGGCGGAAGCTCACGGCCCAGGAGGCATGCAGCAGGGGCCTGGTGTCCCAGGTCTTCTGGCCCACCACGTTCAGCCAGGAGGTCATGCTGCGGGTCAAGGAGATGGCGTCGTGCAGTGCCGTGGTGAGTTCCTGTCTGTCCTGAGCCGGTCCTTCCCGCAGACCCATCTCACAGATGAGGACAGCCAGGCTCCCAGGGACCAGCTGATGTGGGAGAGGTCGTGCCGGGGGTAGGTGAGAGGCTCTGCGGGGTCACAGACGCCGCTCCCAGTGCGCACGCAGGCTCAGCATTCCTGGCTGTTCTCCTTCCCCGCCTGGGCGGGAGCCTCCCAACCCGGGGTATCCTGTGCTGCTTTCAGGGAAAGCCCAGAGCACACACGAAATACCACACATCTCCGTCTTCCCATGCGTGTGCATGGTTTGATTTTATCAGTGCGTGCTCACAGTGTGTAATGACTGCATTCTTCGCGGGGCGAGTTCTCCCTGTGCCTAACACATCCGCTCTTTTTCTGTCCCTTGCCCTCTCCCTACCCTCTCCATCTCTCAGTCCTCTTTCCGTTCCCAAAGGATCTCTCTCCCTGCTCCCCGTTTCCTGTCCTTTATTTTGCTCAAAGAAATGAGAAGCTTGGGCAAATAAAAGACGAGGGTGGAACCGGCCTAGACGTGACCAGACCAGGTCACACGCCTTTGTAGGTCATTTCTTCTGCCCACTGAGGGCTTGGCACGTCTGAGGATCACTGTTCGACTCTGAAGATGCATTGAAAAATAGATGAATACCTCCTCTGCAGAGGCGCCAGTTTCTAATTAAGTGTCGATTTTATCTCCTGACTGTCCCCTGAGCACAGGAGGGAAATGTCCTGTGGGAAGGGGAGGAAAAGCTGGTGCGGGAGCCAAGGGCTCGCTGCAGAGCTGCGTTGCAGACCCCAGCTCTGCGGATCCTAACCAAGGGGCCATGGGCTGGGCTGGTAGGGCCTGACCCATCACTGCCTTCCTCCTCCAGCCCGCACCCACCTGGGTATACTCCTGATTGGCCAAGTCAGCCACTTACCTGCTGGGTGCCCGCCCCACTCCCTGGAAGCTGAGTCCTAGCAGGGTGACAGCCACACCCCTTGGGGATCCAAATGGATTTCCTTTCCCTCTTCCCATGATCAGCATGACCGCTTCTTCCTGGAAAATCCTACATCCCAGGAAACCCCACAATCTTGGGCAAATATGTGTGATCCATCAGCCCAGGTCAGCTTTCCAGAAGGACAGGCAGAAACCCAAGTGGAGGATACAGCAAGCTGTGGGCAGGAGCCAGGGCGCCCTGGTGAGCTCAGGTAGCCGCCCGTGCCAGCTGGCACCGGGCACAAGTTGGGCAGGGAGGCCTAGGAGGAAGGTGGGGGTGGCCTGGGCTGCAGGGGGAGCAGGTACTGGAAGGACACTTGAGGGGACTCCCTCTTAGGAGAGGCCTGCTGTCAGAGACAGCCCGGGAAAACCCAGGAGCTCTGGGTGGTTCCCGAGGAAGGGCTCCACTCCAGGAGGGGAGGGGAGAGAGGCCTTCCTGCCCATTCCCAGGGCACCAGCCTCCCCTCCGGCTCTCTCTGGGGATCAGGCTTCTGCCAATCCCCAGCACTGGAGCACTCCCTTTGATTTCGTTTCTGTTTGAAAGTACTGTGAACTAAGCCTTGACCTCAGCTGAGGACCTTGGAGGACAGCGGGAGGCTGTTTAAAGGCCTCACTTACCACTGCACCTCTGTTTCGAGGATGGGCCAGGCCTGCATCTCACTGATGTGCCAGCATGGGGCATCCCGGGGCATGTCACCCCCTGAGGGTCCTTTGTGTGTGATGGAGGGTCCGAAGGACGGACTTCTAGTGTAAGAGGAGGAAGTGAAAGAACTTAGAAGCACTTGTTGGGCAGCTGATGGTCAGTAGTGATTGCAGTGGGATTGTCATAACTACTATCACTGCTGTTACTGCGCAATACTGTGATTGTTACTGCTCATTACTGCAGTCAGTATCAATGTGAGCATACGATTATTTTCTGTGGTGATGACTGCTACCCTTACCCCTGTGACTGCCGCTTAACACCCTGAAGAAGATTGTTCTTGCCTGTTACTAAAGTTATTATATCTATGGTTGCTGAAATTCTTTATTATGGCGATTACTGTGATTGCGGGGATTATTATTATTCATTGCTATGATTATTATTTCTGTGATTGGTGTAATTATTACTCTGATAATAGTATGATTGTTACTATTACTGTTACTCATTGCTGCAGTTATTACTGTGTTCTACCAAGGCTCGAAGGGGCATTGCTGTTGGGCAGGCCAGGTGTATACTTGGAAAACCATTAGTTCATTTTATTACCTCCTTCCGTGTTCCCAAAGACCCTTGAGTTAATGCCACTCTTTGGAAAATCATGAAAATTATTCCGTTCATGGCATGGGGAATTTAAAGCAGTGCTTTGCAAACTTTTTGATGACACACGTAGAAGATGGCACTGGGTTTATTTCACCGGTGGGTGAGAGACAAGGCTCTGTGGTTGGGGAACCTCAAGCCCCGTCTTGCGGGGTGGAGGATGCAAGCTGCACCCAGCCAGACTCCACCCCAGGTAGTGCTAGAATATGCAGCCGGCAGGCCAGGCCAAAGGAACAAGTCCTTGGAAAGTCCGCGGCACTGACCTCAGAAAGTGGCCCGTGGCCTGCGGGCTGCGTGCACAGTCCCCAGGCGGGCTAACCAGGCCTGTGCGTTTCCCTGCAGGTGTTGGAGGAGTCCAAATGCCTGGTGCGCAGCTTCCTAAAGTCGGTGCTGGAGGACGTGAACGAGAAGGAGTGTGTCATGCTCAAGCAGCTCTGGAGCTCTTCCAAAGGCCTGGATTCCCTGTTCAGCTACCTGCAGGACAAGATCTACGAGGTCTGAAGCCCACGCAAGGGCGCCTGACTGCACCTCGGCCTGAGTTCTGGCCGTCACAGCCCAGCGTCTGCCCGGCCAAGGAGTTCTTCCTGGTGTCCCTGCGCACCTGGGGTTGTGTCCATCTCCTCGTGTCCTTTGGTTGTTCCTCATTGGTTTGATTTTGTGTGATGGTGGGAAATGCAGCACACTTGGCCTCCCCCACGTCCCGCCCCACAGAGCCCTCAAGGGCTCTGCCTCCCTCGCCAGGGCCTCGCCAGGTCCTGCTGTCCCTCCCACTTGCTGGAATGCAGCACCATGGTCCAGGAAGGGGAGCCCGCTCCGCTCTCCCCAGCCTTCCGACTCAGGCTGTGTCTACACAGTGCCTCTGATTGGAGACAAGGCCGGCGTGGTTCGCTCTGGTCGAGTGTAGAAAATGATCCATCCTAGCCAAAGCACAGACCCCCGAGCGAGCCACGGCGTGGACCTGGCTTCTGTCCCCTCTCTGATGCAGTCTGTGTGACTGTTAGGGCTTGGTCTTAAAATCCAACCGAGTGATTTACAAACCCAGATATTGTACATTTAGAAATGTTTTGTTAAATATATATTTTTAAAACAATGCAAGTGGAAATTCTGATAATTTATGTATATGATATGTAAAGCTAGTTTTGCAAAAAAAAAAAAAAAAAGAAAACCATGAACTACTAGGAAAATGTTTTTGTTGCTTTAGTAGGATTTATTTTATTTATTTATTTTTGTTTATATAGTATGATGTGTGTGGTTCACACAGATCTTATTTTCATACTGCCCTGGACCAAATACCGTTTAAGGTTTATGCTGTCTGGTGCATTCTAGCAATGCAGCACGTAGAAATCAAATTCAGAGAGATGCGAACAGAGGATTTCTGTGGATAAAGGAACAGCTCTGCGTCAGACCCTCTTTGTGTAGCTGGAGTAACATAATACCAGTTCCTCAGTCTTGTCCATGGAAGACAGCGTGGAGGGATTTTTCTCTTCGTTCCCTGTCTTTAAAGAGATAAAGGGCTCTCAGTTTAAATGGTCCCAAAACGGACCCAGTTCCCCCTCCTAGACCCTCAGGAGCAGGTGGGAGCAGGCCCTGCAGGAGGCCTCCTGTGGTAGCCTGTAGCCACCATGAGGCTTTTCTTTGTGCAAATGACTACACTTGGGTTTCAGAGACCATTTCTTCCATGCGCGCCTCGGTCGCTGGTTTTGGCCTTCCGGGAAAGTGGGGAGCAACCTGTGTGCTAAGCGGGCTGCACCATCTGAGTCTTCTGCTCCAGAAGCCCGAGTGACCCATCGTTAGATGTGGCCCCCTGCTTTCTGTTCAGACTTCAGTCTAGGATAGTTTTATGTTCGGTATCTACCGAAACAGTGTCTGGATTCTCACTGGACATGGAAGAGGATGTTTGGAAGTTCATTTTGATCGACATCCACCTTTGTTTCTTGCTGAAAGGACCAGAAATGTCTTAACTTTGGGAATACCTTCGATTTCAAAGCCCTGAATAGTTTGGGGATCTGTGCTGACTAAGGCAGGCAGGTGAAGCATCTTCACGGTAGAGTTCATGCTGTGCATTTGTAGGTTCAGGGTATCACAGGAGGTGTTTTCCAGGAGTCTGCGTGTTGGTTGTTTGCATAGTCAGTTCCATAGTTAGGCAAAAGTCAGTGAAGTTTCTTTGCTGCCGTGTAGACTGAACCACTGGATTTTTCACGTTCTGGACAGTCGTTTTGACACTATGTAAGTGAAGTCCATGTAACTTACAGCAAATCTGCCTGTTATGAAAAATTCCAGACCTGTGGTTGTGTTCAGGGTTAGCTCAGAGCATTCTCGGGGAGGTGTTCTTTTCGTTGTTGCTGTTGTTAAGATCTTGTACCCCAGTGCTCTCTCTCCACCTGTGGGAAGGTTTCCTGCTTTTTCTACTTTAATTTTCTGCCCCAACCCAAATCCCTACCCTACAGCTCTCCTTCCTAGAGTCTGGGCAGGTCTTTGAGGAATGACCACCGGACTTGGCAGCCCCATCCTGGAATGCCTTTGGGGTTGGCAGAACAGCTGTGGGTGGGGAGTTGAGGGTCCTCTTCTGAGTCAAGCGCTCTTCTGGAAGTCTGCTCCTCTCCTTCTGCAGACCCCCTCCTGTCCGCCTCAGCCCTACCTATGCCGCTGTCCTCTAGGGAAGCCATTGGAGTGAACAGTCCTGTTCCCAGCGGGCTTTCTACAGAACTTTTGTTCAGATGCTCACGCCTCTTCAGAGTTTGGAAGTGGTACCATGATACCGATGCTATCCCTGTGTCTCTTCCCTCTCAGAAATGAGGTGTTGCGTCCAAAGACACCACACTCTTTGCTGAAAATGAAATTGTGTAACTTTGAGAAGGAAGCAGAGAATTGATTTGAAATACTATTCTTGTTTGGTATGGGTGGTCACTCGGAAGCATGAAATAGGTATTTTCTCCATATGACGTTTAGTATGAGGGTGGAAAGATAATAATTACAATACACTTTGAACAATGCAGCTCAATCTCTGAATAGCCACATTTAAAAATAGCCTTGACTCAATGCTGAAGTGCATTTCCCACTATGAATAGTTTCAAAACCTTTACAAAAAAACTTTTAAAAAGTTTGTAAACTTTTTTTAATTTTGAATTTAGTCACATTCATGAGATTTTTCCAATCTAGTTTCTGTGGAAATTTTTTTAACAAAGAGAAACAAACAGAAACATCTGCAGATCTTCCTAAGTGGATATTTAAAATGCAGAACACACCTCTTCTGTGTTCCTATGTTCAGATACTTAGATTTGTTGTATATATTAGTCTAGACATTCACTAATATACACAGTATTTAAGACTCTAAATGAGATTTCTTAAGTATTTTATTTTATTCTCTGTAAATGGTTTTGTAAAATCTTTAAAAAATCTACACTTTGCCTTTGTAGATACATCTTCGAGGGTTGTCTTGCATGTATATTTTTGTTGTAGATACGTGTTGCTTAGTTCTTTATGCAAATTTTGGTTGAAATGCTTATAGACTTTAATACAGTATATATTTTCAAACTATAAACTTTTATATTTCTGTGGTAAGTTAGGATATGCGTTTTAGGCAATCTTTTCCCATTAATATCACTTGTGCTTTCAAAAATCTAGCATACTGGTTTGGTGCCAATGTTTTTATTTCATTCTTTCTGTTTTTTAAATCTACTGTTCTTATATTGTTAGGGCCATTTTGTTTTTTCTAGAAGGAATTGAGTTTGAAGTATCATTAGAAAACGTATTGAATTTGTGAATAAGCCTTACCATTAGGATCAGTAAACTTTTCCACCCTTGCAACCATGTATGTAGTGTAGGATCTCCCCGTAAATTCTCACAGTGTGGCAGGTGATGGAGTTTGTGAACAGAGCCTTAAGCTTGTTGCAAAAATAATAATAAAAGGGTAATACGGGTTGTTTTGTCCACGTGAGCCACGTTGACAGACTCGGTGTAGCCGGTCAGTCGTGGCTAATTCTGGAGAGTTTGGTTGAGCTGAAGGCGGCAGGTACCACATGAGTTCTATGGTGACTGTCTTTGGCCAGAAGGTTGACCTGAGGACAGGTTTTCTGGAGCCTCTTCACCTGGTTTAGACATGGTCATGACGGGGGCTGCTGGTTCACTGTTCTGGACAAATGGCACTTCCTGCTCCTGACCCTGGTAGTGGACTCCTGGTTCCTTGTGGGTGACCTGAGAGGTCCAGTCTGGCTGAGGTCAGCGCTCCTTGAGAAATGTTAACAAAGTTTACGTATGAGTCTTACTGTGTCGACAATCTGAAGTCAGTGTCACATAATCAGCATCCCCATGTGTCCTCAGTGTCCCCCCAGTGTGTCAAGCCCTACCGACTTGGAGTTTAGCGGGACAAAAGCAGACAGGGTGCTGAACTTACTCAGCAGCTGAGTCCATCCATCCAGGACCGTCTCCGTGTGGAAAAGTCAGTCGCAGGAAGGAGATCAAGTGAGGCTTGATTTGGGACCTGATAAAACCAGCTAAAATTTGGCCTTAATTAAAAAAAAAATAAAGTTCCTTTTGCGTGGCCGCATTTGAGTATCACCATCTGATCTTCCTTACCAACATCTTTGTCCTCAGATTTTGAGCCCTGGTGCTGGTATGGCTGAAGTCATTTGGTCCATCTTTAATAGGTGTCCATAAGGTCATCTTGTCAACCCTAGGATGGAGCTCTGCCGATTAGCTTCCCTTTTGAAAGCCAGGATCTGGTGTCAGGCTGCAGCTCTGTTGTCCATGGCCTGACCTTATTCACCTCACTGGCCCACCCAACCTTGGGCCTGATGCCAGAGCTCGGTGAGTTGACTTTAGGAAGTTCAGAAGGTGTAGTGGTTTCCATCTAGTATTTAATTTGTCCCTGTGTCATTAGTCTCAGCTTGAAGTCATTTGCCAATGTCTACGTTGACAGGATTGTGAAAATATTGCCTTTCATAAAACCAAGGACCAAAGAATTCCATTATTCCAACAAAGCACGAGTTTCATAGATTTCAGTTGCGCCCAGATGGAGACGTGCGAGCTGGACGGCACAGAGAGACCGCTTGGTCCTCCACCCCGATCTCGGGCTCCCGCTGTTTGGCTGGACACAGGGACTTGTCACATTGAGAAGGCTCTGAAGAGGAGTTTCTAAGGTTGAAACTCGCTATCTCAGGTGGTGGTTCTGCTGTATAGTCCTAAGGTTTGTATCCATATCATAGAGAGTGGCGATCTGGCAATTCTCCGGGTTTATCTGACAGTGTAGATACCTCTGTTGCATGTGAGTCTCTGGTGTGAGTTTTGCAGATGTGTCTACACCCAGCAGCAGGTCTTCACCACTGCCAGATTTCCACCACTTAATTAGTTTTGCATCACCCCATTCCATTTCTGGTTTGGCATGGGCAGGGAGATTTCCCTCAGTTCCCAGGCCGGTGACACAGCATTCTCATTCATGTTGAAATCATCGATCCGTTAACCACTTGAGAAATGATGGATGTTGGGAAAATGCTGTTCTATTGGTAAGGCTTATTACCAAACTTCTTATAACGAAGCAGGCTACCAAAAACTTGCCCAGCCCACCCTGAGAGTGTTTGGGTTGGGTCACGGGTGTAGCATACACACCAAAATCCACGGAGACCTTTGCAAATTAGGCTACTTCTTTTCTTTTGCCAGATTATCCTGGGAGTGTCTTTAACTAGTATGAACATTTGTAAGTATGAGTACTTCATAGAGATACAAAGCAGGTACAGCGGACCCGTCCTCACCGTGTTGTAAATATTTCCCGAAATGGGGTGCAGTCCCGAGGGGTGATGACCTTCTGATTTATCACATGCTGACTGTCTAGAGCAAGTTGTACACTCTCTTTGTGAATGGTCCTGTAACGTGTATGAACACATTTCTGGGTGCCTTAGAAGTTGTATTTTTCATGTGTGCTAATATGCAGTATTTATACATTGTGAGAAGCTGCTTTCAATAAAAAGGTTGAAACTTCGTCTCCATTTGCTCGTGTTTCCCCCTTTTGCAGCCGGAGTCTAAAGTCTGTGAACAGGTTCTGTGGTTTTGAAACAGAGAAGTTTCAGGACCTCCTTGGGGCTGAGAGCTGAGATTTCCCGGAAACTCTGGCACCTGGCTCCCCACCCGGGTCTGGCCTGAGGCTTCGGGTATTGAAGAAGGCAGCTCGGGCAGGGGTAGGGGTGCTGGCGCCACAGCTGTGCAGTGTGAGTTTTCTGGGGCTGAACCCGCATTTACCCTTCCCTGACAGCATGTGTCTTGTGTCCTGGGCCTCCCTCTTCATTAGGGATGAACCTCCAGAGATAGATTTGTACAGTCCCTTCTGTAACACATGAGAAGATCTCAGCTTCAACACTCTCCAAGAGACCAAGCAATCCAAACTCCAAGGGCAGTTAGGCAGGGACTGAGTAATGCATCCTAGCACCCATGAAGCTCCCGAGGCAGAGAAAGGGCCCATGGATGGCTACCAGACAGAAGGAAGAAAGAAAGGACAGAAGGATGGATCCGTGAGTGGGTGCATGGATGCATGGACAGGTGGATGAGAAAAAGGGCGGATGGATAGATGGACAGACAGATAAACAGATGGATGATGGATGGGTAGGTGGATAGGATGGGTGAATGGACAGATAGATAGGTTGACAGACACACAGATGATCTCCTGTAAATCCTTTTCTCAAAATTCTCTTACTACGGAATCCTGGGAGAGTTCCTCTCACCCCTTCCTGCAGCCCCTACGATGCACGTGTGACCAGGCCCTGGAAGCCAGGCCCTCTTCATCAGTGTGCCCCTCCTGAGAGTCATGGTGTGATGAGGAAACCGATGAGATCACGCTGAATACACATACAGGCTGTGGTGTGGCTCGGGCATGATTGAACTGACAATGGAGGAAACCTGAACAGGATCTTGGGAGGGGTTCAAGGACCCCTCAGAGCAACAGATGATGCTAATTAAAAACTATCCCCAGAAATTCTCTACTGTGGAGTCCTTGTTCAGGCACCAAACTACCTAGATCCCCCCAGACCCCCAAAGTGCTTCACGGTAAAGGCTCAAAGGAATAAGACACTTCGCATGGTCTAGGGCTGCAGGAGGACTGAAATCTTCAGCAGAGCTTGTAACTGCTAGCTGACAGGCCGACTGAGATTCACATTCCATTAAAGGTCAATAAGTTGAATAGAAACTTCTTGTGTAGTAGATAAGGGTGATTAGACTAAAAGATTTTATGTCAGAATGGAAATTCAGGTTACTATAGGAATGTCATGATTGTCATAATACAATATGCAGACTTTTGATGCCCAATTTACTATGTAAAATATGTAACTGTTAACACTATAGGTATTCAAATATTAAGATATCCATGCATAGTAGAAAGTAGGTTTCATTTAATGTGCTAAGGTGCTTCATATTTGTTAAGCTTACTGCCTCTAATATACTGTATTGTTATCAGTCTTTTTTCTGGATGTCCAACAGCAGAGGTTTAGAGACCAAAAATTAGAGAGATGGATGGGCTAAAAGGATAACCAACATTTTGGCCTCAGCCCTTCAACGTCAGTGGGGACCCAGGACATTAAAGAACCTCTGCTTGGTCATCCTAAGATAGTGAGTCCCTAGTCATCTGATCAAGATGACAATGAGACCACAGTGGAAAGTGGCCTTTGATGTAAGGTGTGCCTAAAGAGAGTCACCAGGAGCAAAATAACCTAAGCATTCACAGAAAGCTACTTGGTCAAACAATGGCCGTGACTCATCCAGATGGCTGACACCCACAGAAGAGCCAGGAGGTGCCATGCATGGTTCTACACAACTCCTGAGGAGCCCTAACTGACCTTGATAGGAAGTAAGGCTCTGATTGTATTTAATGCAGGTCTCACCTTAGCTTGGTCTTGAACCTCCTGCAGAAAACATGGCCTCTGGAGGTGTAATGCCCTGTAAAATGTTGGCTGTGGGGGAAGCTCGGGTCACTAATGTCCTCTGACAATTGCTGGCTGTGCTGGTAACTGACTACTGTTATGCATCGATGGGCTGTGTGGAGTTTGGATTGTGGGAGTTCTCCTAACACAGCTCCTCCAGCTTCAGCTGGTCACCCATCCCATGCATCAACAAAAAAGAGGGATGTGATGGAGAGCATTGAAGCTGAGTACACACGCAGGGCGTGGTGTGGCCTGGGCGTGATTGACCTGAGAAGGAGGAGACACGTCAGGAGGCAAGACAGGCCACAGCTGAGGCGCCTGGAGACTTTCTGGATGCTTATCCTTAATTAGCATTGTCTGTTGCTCTGAGGGGTCCTGGAACCCCTCCCAAGATCCTGCTCAGGTTTCCTCCATTGTCCACTCAGCTCCTTGCTTGTTCTGATTAAATACGGGCTGCCCAGGGTCAGTTGGCCAGCTGGCTAGCAGAGGTATGAGCTCTGCCGAGGATTTCACTCTTCCCGCAGCCCTAAAGACCGTGCTGCGTGTCTCATTCCTTTGAGCCTTTACTGTGCACCTGGACGGTTCCTTACCTCTAACTTCTCATGGTCTTTCCTGCTGATTGGAGAAGGCCATGCATGCTCGGGATATAGCATCTGTATGACAAACTCTGGATGTTTAAACTGTCCCTGCTTTGATGCGACTGCCTGAAGAGGAAAGCGGAAAGGAGAGGGATGGAGCTGAGACTTCCATCTTGTCAGAAATGTCAGCAGTTAAATCAATACAGTGTACCAGGTAGGCAGTAACAGAGTGTGATCACAAGGGATCTTATTCTGCACTTGAGGTCCCTTTAAGTCTGTTTTATGGGAGGGGCCAGGCCTTCCTAATGCCAGATGAGGTTCTGGTGGGCTTGGGGACCTTTGTGTCATTCATAGGCAATATGTGGCTCCTACCAGTCATCAGCCATTGCCAGGTTGCCATTAACAATGTCATTCCCGACTCTGTTCAACACTAGGTCTTCCCTCCACCGGACTCACTCTGTGATGCTTTTTTGGTCAAAGGAAAACGACAAAGATCTTTCGTGACTGGTGCTGTTGTCAGACGGGGTTTTCATTCTCTGGGCCTCACTGACGATTCTGCATCTCACAGGGAATTTTCCGGGTTTCTTGGTAACTCCCTCCATTGACTGGGCAGTCCCCTGTAATGGCCAGATGAACTCTTTATAGTAACTGACCTCTTAGTTCCTTTTCAGGCTCTGGGAGTCCAGTGGTCCACTGCTGCCTTTCCCAGTTGGGGCCTTTGGGCCCCAGTGACCAGTCTACTGTGTTCTTTGTATTTCAGGAGGTGCATATAAGGCCCATCCTACTTGAGATGAAAGGGGAGGCTCTTCTTCACCTTCCATGTGCGTGTCTGTCCTGGGGATAGCAGAGTTCTCTGCAAAGGATTTTCACCCACCCTCAAATGCTGGGTGCACAAAGACTGCTTCTAGGAATCATGAAATCCACTGAGAGATGCTTTCAGTGCCTGGGTGGGTTCCTCTCTCATGAAAGCCATGCCCTAGGGCTTCAGGGGTTGTAATAGGAACTTAAAGTTTCACTCCAAGTGGGTGGAGAGCCCCAGGAAGGTACAGAGAAGGGTGGCCTGGTTAACTTGTGTTTTCACAGCATCGCTAGACAACAATAGAGAAAGCCAAGGAGATCAGAAACAGAGACACCAACAGGGGACATGGGGTTGTCACCTGCACTGCAATGGAGGCTTCAGTGGGGGACTGGGTAGCTGAGGACTTGAGGAATCCTGAGTCAGATGGGAAGGCAGCCAGATGTGGAGGTGGGCCAGTCGGGGAGTCAGGAGAGGGAAGAAGGCATCTGGGCTGAGTGTGAGGCATGGGCGTGAACCTGGAGTTACCCTCACCAAGGCAGAGATGGCCTTGGGACTTTTGGGAGTAATAGGTCTGGGGTAGCTGTTGGGAGCCTGGCTAAGAGCAAGTCCCGGGGGCACCAGATGTGTGACCTTGCCCAGCCCCAAGGATGACATCTATGTCTGCCTCTGGGATGTTTGCATGAAAGCATCTTTACACACACACATATCTGTGTGGATTACAGATGGGGATTTAAAAATGTGACACTTATTTAAATACATAACATCATAGGCTAACTAGATTGTATATGCTATATAACCTGCTAACGATGGTCATTTTCAATGATTAAATGAGATTTACCTAGGAGATTTGTATGTAAATAAGTATATGTATTGTATTTAGGACAGTTGCTAGCATCTAGTCACTATTTATGATTCAATGAGGTTTTCACATGTAGGTGTATATATATACAATATTTTACATCTAGGATTCATAAATTCCATTATGTCATTGGACACAGTTTCATGGCTGTCACTGGCACACTGTGGCAGTGGTGGCAAACCCACTGACCTGTGCTGTAACACACTGTTACCATGGAAAAGCCCTAAAGGTTTGCTATAGAATGATAAAATGTGACTTATAGATGTGTGTTTATCTCTGAGGTTTTATAGATAAGATTTATGCAAATACATGAAAGATGTGTTTCAATGAGGTTCAATGCATAAAAATGTGAAGTTTTATATATAATATGGTTAGAACTGTTTTGGAACATGGTCACTAGTGACTAAATGAGCTTGTGAGTCTAGATGGCATTTTGTATGTGTTAGATTTATTTAAAAGTACAGTGACTGCCCAACTTACGAAGATTTCAGTTGCAAGCTTTTAGATACAAATCGATCTCGTATTTGGTTTTTTAATGCTTTCTGTTGTGTGTTTGTCAAAGATGTGGAGACTTATATTGTTGGGCTCACAAATGAATCCAACTTACAAACATGCCCCAGAACAGAACTCATTCTTAAGGTGGGGCACTTACTGTACACACACACACACACACACACACACACACACACACACACTCATATTTTACTCCAGGGATTCCAGAAAGATGTTCCACCAGCTCTCTGATCCTGCAGTTTCAGAAAAGTCTGTTTCTCATCTAAGCCCCTTCCTGGAGGGATAGAGGTGGTGACCTTGGACTGGGGATGGCCCTGGAGCCTTCCTGAGC